CCCAGCTTCTACCTTGAGCCACTGCAGGCATGTGCCTGAATTTCCTCAGTCCAGAGAGAATGTCTGTCCAATTTCAAAACAGTTTAGCCTAGTCAGGTTAGACTAGCCTGCAAAGATTGAATCAATTCAGGCTCAGGATGTCTGTTTCTAGCCTTAAGGTTCAGATCATTCAAGGTCAGAGATGTTACTAGTCACAAACCATTCTTCATAGTTATTCCATGTATCATCTTTTAAAACCATTCCCGTACCTTGCCTGACTGTGAAAAACATTCATGTTTCAAAGATTCAGAGCCTTCATTGTGCTGTTGCATGTATCAGGAAGCCAGAATATGGTATCTCTGCTAGAATGGTTTTGATTTTAGATTATTTTAATTAAATCCCAGCCCTTTGTTTTAGGCTTATTCGGAGAACAATTGTAGCAAGTTATTCCTATTAATTTTCCAGAGCTGTAAGAGACAAAGCGCAGCTTGTAGCATTTTAAAAATATAGGGTGTTTTTACACATTGAGGAGTGCTTTAATTAAAATTTAATTACTGGCAGAATATATGTAGATAGCTTGATTTTGCAGTATCCTGGTTAGACAGCATAGGCCTTCAGATGCATCAAGAAATCTTTTCTTTATTTGCTCTGCTGTGAGAGATACTTTTATGGACTCTGCTACTATTACATTTTTTATCAAATCTAAAGAGTTTTAAGGTGTTCGGCCCCAGTACCGGTTTTGCGGGATTGTCTATTACATAGATATCCAGATTTTGACATTCTCCCTTGTACCTGTATTTCATAGCCCATTTCCCTACTCTGTGGGGTGGATGCCCTCTACAACTTGTTGGTCTCACTGATACAGGCAATGTTAGTGCTGAGGTGTGGGCTAAATTTTTCCTAAATTCTGTATTAGGGATACAGTTTACATGTACCCTGGTGTCCATTCTGAAGTGTATGGCTATTTTTTTAAATCTTTTAGGCAATAGGCCTCAGCCCTCTTGACTTCCTTATTCTTTACTATAGCATAAAAGAGTGCTACATCATTGCTGCCAGTTTGTTTCCTTGATGTTCTCCTGATGTATACTTTATAAGATCTGTATTTTTCTGTTTCCTAGGGCTCATGCTCATACAAGTTGCTTTGATTTGTTATACTTTGTGTATATCTTCATGAGTGCCTGGCTTTTCTTTTGTTTTGTGTGATGCAGATGTTCTATGTCAAATCTGATGCACCTGTTCCTTTGCTGAACTATTGTTTTCAAAGGTGTGTGTGGCTGGTGCCTCACTGTGGTACCCATATCTTTTTTTTTTTTGGAGTGTGTTGTTGTATCATTCTTAGTCATACTTTTCTGTCCTATTATGTGCACCTTGTGAAAGGTATTAGTGATTAATAAAGGGTTAAATCTTCTCTTTGGAAGTTTTGTTCCTTGGCTATTATAATGGCTTTTTCTGTCCTCCATTAGTTCTTTTTCTTATTTTTCTTTTGACTTTCATTAATAACCTGTCCTTCAGGACCTTGAATAGTGAAAGCATAGCCATTTATTATCAACAGCAGCTGGGTCACCCTGTCAACAGTTGTCTCGCTAACTCTCTAATTTGTCACCTAAAATTTTTTTTTCTTTGTATGGAGTTTTTGGGAAATGATAGACTTCGAACAGCCTGTCTGGATTTTTCATATCTGTTTCAGTCAGCCTGCTACTAAAGATGTATTCTCTGCAGATATTCCTTTTTGTCCAATGCACATTAAAAATGAGCAGCTTTCAGACTGTAGAGCACCAATGTGTATCAGTGCTGAAAAGATTAACTACTTCCACCTAATGCAGTTCTTTGCAATGCTTCCAGTTTCAGAGTCCATAGGCAGCACATTTCTTGAATTATTCTGTATGAAATTCATAGTTAGTCCAATCTTACACTCCCTTTGAACAGATATCTCATAGGAATGAAAATCCATAGGGTAAACTACATAGCATTTGATTAACAAAGCTCTTCAGACACATGCTGCTGTCATTAGCTCAGCCTACCATACACAGAAAGTAAACAAGAGCTGTATCTTCAATGTCTTAAATGTATGGGGCACTTGTTCTCTAATTGTATATGCATACTGGTGAAGACAAACATATAAACATATTGCATCTATGACTTATTCTTTCATAAACATCCTCACTGCAATGGAAAGTACCAAGAGCGTTCTTGTTAAAATAGATGTTACCTTGTTTTTCATAAAGTAACTGATATATTTCTGGTTTGGGAAATGTGCTTGTTTGCTTAATTCAGGATGTGATAACTGAAAAGGCTATTTTAAAATTAAAGAATTTGTTTCATAGATAATGAAATCTACATATTTTCCAGAGACTTGGAAACAATAGAGATCCCAAATATAAATGCAAGGATGTTCCAGCCTTTGAGGAACCTTTCCCACATGTATGTATTCAAAATAAAAGAAATCATGACTCCTTTTCCTTAACACACAGAAATGTACAAAGTAGCTCTGATTTGTTATATATTTCTATTTTGTTAAATGCTAATAAGGTTGTCAAATAGGCTCCTGTTTCTTCAAAAGGTATTAAATATGTTAAACTTCTATGCAGAGATAATAAAAAAAATGCATCTTCATGTAATTCACATTCCCTGTTGGTATCATTCCACTTTTCCACAGTGACTTTTTTTATTATATGCTTTGAAGAGGGGAGTCATTTTTTTAGGCCAAAATCTAATTCAGAAATAGCTGGTAAATAGCTTTTTTAGGCCAAAATCCAATTCAGAAATAGCAGGTAAAGGCCTCCATAGATTTAAGATTTTAGAACCTATTCCAGTTGAACAACTCACCTTTCCTTTCTGAGGATACCTGGAAAGGGTCAGTAATTGTTAGGCTGTTCCTGTACACACTGAATATCTTGAAACTTTTGCTGTAATTCTAGTTCTTTATCCTGTTTTGGCTTTTCTTCCTTAAAGTATCCCCAGTTGCTTCCTCTGTATAATGACATAGAAAGTAAGCATTCATCAATGACTGCACTTGTGTTCCTGAATTTATTCCTAGAGTTCAAATTGTACTGCATCCTCCACTCTATACTTCCTCTGGAAAATTGAAAGCTTCATTCTGTTCCTAACTCCACTGTGTCATCAGTGTGCAAAACATAAATTACCCCTGCCCACTTGTCTACCAACAGACTACTAGCAAAGTCACCCACTGGGCTACTGGGCCATACCTGTGTCAAAATTTGATACATCAGCCTTCCTGTATTTCACAGTCATTTCAGAAAGCTACTTTATCTTAATAAAATACATATTTTACCATTTTAAGTTATTTTATATATCTTCTTTCATTAATTTATATTTTTGGATTATCTAATATTTACGTACAGGTTTCCCTCGCTTTATGCTGTACACACATTCCTGGAAAACGGCACATAACTCGAATTTACATAAAGGGAACCCAGTTTACTATGTAACAAATAGGAATACGTTCCAAGACCTCAACTGTACTGACTCCCAGACCCATTTCTACCACTTTTACAAGACAATTTTGGTACTTACCAACAGCAGACAGTACAGACAAGCACAGGGTGGTGGTGAATGTTTAGTTGGTGTGAAGAGAGGGTGGTGAAGGGCATTAGTGTTAGTGAAGTTCTCTTGTGCTTCATTGATGGACCAGGAAGAGGGGTAGGAGATAAGTTAGTGGGACACTTAGAAGCCATAATGGGGATGGCAACTACAGAAACACGTGTCGTGGACAATGAGTGAGAAACACTGGTCCACACAGGAAACTATAATTTGGTGCGCATCACTCCCACAATGCATTGCACAAAGCAGCTGACTGAGGGGTTCCACCACACTGATCACATACGAGTGAATTTACCTGGCATATAAAAAAATTTTGGCATAAAAAGGGTCATTGCATAAGAGTGAATTCACACATACAGAACCTGCATAAAGCGAGGGAAATCTGTACAACATTTCACGTATAAACTGATAAAATATTTGATTTTTGGAAGTTGATGTTTTTTGTGAATATTTTGGTTTTGCTCTATCTGGCTCCATTTTAGCTCTTGAGCACCAGTTTAGCATCAAATATATTCTTATACCAAATTGTACTGAGGATCCCACCTGCCCTGCTCACCCCACCCATGTTTCATGCCTGCCTCCCCCACCCGTCATGGGTTGTACCTCTCCCTTATGCCACCTATTTACGTTCTCACTGAAATCCTTTCACATTTTTAGCTTGGAGATCTCAGAACAGCAGAGATTTCCTGTGCCTGAAGAAGGGTGCTTGTGCCCAAAAGCTTTCAAAGAACTTGTTTCCTACTACTCAATTGGTCTAATAAAAGATATCACATCTACCCAAAGAAGCTTTCTTGCTATTCTTTTCAATACACTTTCTTCTATGCAATGGACCCATTTCTACTATCAGCCTTTCAGCCTACAGTATGAGTGGTTTTTGCCTCTTTCCTCCTCCCACTGCAGCTGCCTTATAAAAAGATGTTATTGAGAAGGAAATGTAAGTAGGTGGGTAAGTGAATATATCATTACTATTATTTTTGTTGAGATAAAAAGTTGAATTTGGCCTTTTGAAATGCAAAATATAAGTTTAACACAAGGTTTGCAACTCATTTAGATTAAAC